TACATAACAGTGAAAATCGTTTATTAGCAAGTGAAAAGAAGTAGCTGCAAAACTAAGCAGAGGGCTAGAAATGTATATGAGAAAAAAAACAAAGATGTGCATATAGAAAGAACAGAGCTGCACTGATGCAAAAAAAAAAAAGGAATTATCTTGGGCAAGAACAAGTAAACATAACAAAGTTAAAGATGAGCTATTGCTCTAATAGTTTCTGTAATGTAAAAAAAAAACCCCTTCTAATTCTAATGTCTAGAATACATATGAATGAAGCCACTCATTTGCCTGCACTATGGCTGCTACCTTCTTTAAACAATTCTGAGGCAAAATTATATAAATAAAAGAATAAACATTGTCATTTAAAATCCTAGGCTGTCAGTAAAGAACAGACATAACACAATTCTCAGTTCACAATTCTGCTACGGTTTAAAGTCTCCTTAAACTTTTAAACATGTTCATAATTCATCCAGTCATCCTATGGTATTTTCATACCTGATGATGAACACTACGGTACTCAGGTTAACATTACCAGTACCTTCCAATACATCAATAGAATTTAATAACAGTTTTCTCATATACATGATGAAAACAGTAAATGTGAAGCAGCAGTTAACAAATTCTGCTTGATTCACCATGTGAGGAGCAACCTACCACTGGTAAAGTACAGATATGCTATTAACTGAATTCTGGAATAATTATTATATAAAAAAGAAAAGAACAATATAGCAGCACTTTGAATTTTTTTCTACCTATCCCAAAAATTATGCCAAAAATCCATAGAATCCAACCTATGCTGAAGTACAAAGAAATCATATAAATTTTATCTCTCTTTGGGTTCCAAACTTAGGGTGTCAGCTCTAGATACTAATCTGGACATCCCTACATGGCAATGAAGCTAGAGCTAAAATAAAATGAATATTTTACATGAAGAGAGTGCTGGAATACAAAAGGCTGTTACAATTGATTGCTTGTTTAGAATTTGCCTGAGATTACCAGCTATTTCCACTACTTAAAAAGGTCAGTGTATATAATTTTTTAAAGACAACAACAATGTGGCAAACTTATAATAATAGTACGCAATCAATTCTGTCTCATAGAGGGCAACCACTTAAATTTATGCATTTTAAATAGTTGCTTATTTGGATTGTATTTTTAACTATGGCCTCAGTTGTGGTAGAAGTAACCTACATGAATATACAACTATTCCCAATTCATACCAGAAGCAGACTTCCAAACCTATCAAAATAATTATTATCCTTAGATGGAATATTGTTGTCAATAAACTAAAATGTTACACTAAGAATATGCAGTACACTAGCTGTTCTAATTGAAACATCTGAGAAAAAAATTCTTTTGAAAAACAGGCCAAGCGTTATTATCTTCTCCTTGGATCAAGCACTGATTTTCTGAAGTACCAATCAGAAGCCTTTTTAGAGACAAACCATAGAGATAACCATGCAATGCATTTGTTCCAGATGTCAACCTCTTACATTTCTTAAAATCTGTGAAATCATGAAATCTTTATCATAGTGCATCGGCTGCCAATTTAAATTTGTAAATGCTTACTAAATATTACCAAGACAGGACAAAATAAGAAGCAAATATTCTGAATATTCTAGTCTGAGGTATATATGTATTCTCAAAATAGATTCTCTGACTCGTCAAAAAAAGATTGCTATTATCCATTCTAAGCACACTGCAGTTGTCATGTAGTGACTTGCACTAACATTGGCGTGAACAAAAAAACCTGAAGTGAAAGGCAACCTTCATTTTCCGTAATATAAAGAAGCAATGGATTAACAACTAAGACAGGCATACTGCATGGGGAAGAGGGAAGAACAATAGAAATAAAAAAGCAACACAATACAGTTAGCAGCCTTTCAAAAAAGGTAAGGCAATAAGCAGTGTAGACAACCAAGTCAGAAATAAAAATTGACCCCTTCTGCCCCCTACAGTTTAGTTGGATGTTTAAGACACAAGACCCAGAAATAAAAATGGGAGGTTAATCCTGAACATCAAATGACACCATTTTTCATTTATTCATTGGATAAGCCATAGTAATTTGCTTTTCTTTGCCAGCACTGGTTTTAGAGTTTTCGCTACTGCATTTTATAAAATCAATACTCCATACAACGGCTGTTCTATCGAATTTCTACATTATCTCCTCTCTCTGGAATTCTCAGTGCCTGAGTAGAGTGCTATCTTCAGCTTTCTTTTCTCTCTTTACCAATGTACCAATTCAGATAAAAGCAATGGAGATCTTTCTGACAAAGCATGGCCAGAAAATTCATATCAAGACATCCAACAACATCCTTCTACAAAGCAATATTAGATTGCAAGCCATCACAGAAGAAAATGCTTGTACGTTTTACTTTTTCATCCCCAGCGCCAGAATAGTGAATGTCAAACTACCCAATTATTTAAAATGCTATAGGGGGGGAAACTAGCTGTTTTAACAGTTTGCACATAAAGACACTTTACTGAAAGGCTTTGACATTTCAGATTGGAAGAAAGGATTTGCATGTACTGAAACCTCTAGTTAAAAAGCACCACATAAAGAAAACTGGACAAAGGCTTACAATACGCATTTGCTATCTGCAAGAAAAGGTGGGTATTTTCTAAAGAGGAATGGAGGCAATTCAAAGTTTTTAAAAATGGAAACCCTGCTCTAACACCCTTCTCTCCTATTTTTCTCCATATGCAGATTTATCTGCTAATTACTAATGGAAACTAAGGTAACCTAAGCAGGGAGCAACTACCAAGGCCTCAATGCTATGATTTTGGCAACATCTGGAGATATGCCTGCCCCACAAATATTTGCCCCATGGGCATCCACAACCACCTACAAACCATTTTCCTGATGTTACTTACCAATGACATCCACGTGCAACCAACAATCCCCTCTAACATTCTACCTGCCCTACATTTCTTTAACTTGGCACACAGGAGCCTTTCATTGCTGCAGCCCTGCCCCTTCAACTCTGACCTTGGCTTGGCTCCTTAAAAAAAAAAAAGGCCTTTAAATCAAATACCAGAACAGGAGCTGCCTTTTGTATCCTGGATGCTCCTTTCCCATATGGACACTTTAGTTGTATTTCCTGTGTTATGTGTTATAGAGAAGGCCGACTCTGCAACCCACCCATTGAATGAAAGAGGAGGGGAGGGGGAGGAATCCCTGCGTTAGGAGAGGCTGTGTTGTTACATGGTCCTTCCTTCCTGGTGCATCTTTTGAGGGCAATCTGTGCTTGCTGAAACAGATCTCCCTTCTGCATTTCCCTTCTGACTTCCTCCAACACCCACGGATCATGTTTCCCGCCACCCACCCACCCACGCTGACCGTGGACGCCCGGCCCTTTCAGAAACATCCCTGCTCGCCTAACAGCAGGAGAGCCGTTTCCACCTATTGTGTGGTGGGCAACTCCGACCGGCTTCCTCCGGGGAAACAGGCAGCTCCAGCCGCGGCCGCTCCCCATAGAAGGGACCAAGGAGCGGCGAGACCCCCCCCCCCACTCTCCGACCGCGCCCCTTCCTCCGCCCGCGCGCTCCTCGCCCACCTACCCACCCACGGGACATTGGGAGGGGGGGGGGAGGGGGTGGCCGAAAGCCCCTTCCCCTTGCAAGGGGGGAGGGGGGAAGAGGAAAGCCCAGCTCTCCTTGGCCGAGCAGACCCCCTCCCCCTTCCAGGACAACCTGGGCAGGCCGGGCGCGCTCTTTGGCCCCGGAGCTCCGGCTCTGCCCTCCCATTTTCCCTCCTCCTCCTCCTCCTCCAGGCGGGCTGTGCAGCCGCCCGATTCCGGGAAAGTCCGCCCGCAGCAGGAGGAGGAGGAGGTGGAAGAGGAGGCTGCTGCCCCGCTTTTCTCCTCCTTGTCCCAAACCATGAGGACTAGAAACACGCCTGGGGTGCTGCTGCTGCTGCTGCTGCAGGGGACCGGTCCCTTTAGGGAGGGGGCGAGGAGGAAGAAGAGGAAGCCAATCCCCTCTTCTTCCTCCTCCTCCTCCTCCCCTAAACCAGGAGGACTAGAAACGCGTCTGCTGATGCTGCGGGGAAGGGGACATCATCCCCCGGGGCCTGCTCCTTTGGGGAGGATGCCTCCTTTTCTCCTCCCTGCCCCCAAACCACGAGGACTAGAAACATGCCGCTGCTGCTGTGGGAAAAAGGAGAAAGGGTCGCCCCGTGGGACCAGTCCCCTTAGGAGGGGGGGGCGTTAGAGGAAGATACACCCTGAGGACTAGAAACACGCCTGGGCTACGTGGGGGGGGAGAGAAGAGAAGCCTCCCTTGAGGAGGAGACGAGGAAGCACCCCCCCCTCCTCCTCTTCCTTTTCTTTGCCCCCCTGCCCCCAAACCATGAAGACTACAAGCTTGGGTTGCTGTTCCTGGGGGGGGGGGAAGAGGGAAGATGCACCTTGAGGACTAGAAACGAGGGAGGGGGAAAAAAAGAGGAGAGGTCGCCTTTCCTCCCATCCTGAAAACCATGAGGACTAGAAACGCACTGGGGGGGTTGTTCCTTGGGGGGAAGGGGGAAGAGGAGAGGGGCAGGCCCTTTTAGTGGGGAGGGGGAAAGAAGAAGAGGCCAGGAGGAAGATGCCACCTTGAGGACTAGAAACGCACTTGGGTGGTTGTTCTTGGGGGGGAGGGGGAAGAGGAGAGGGGCAGGCCCTTTTAGAGGGGGGAGAAGAGGCCAAGAGGAAGATGCCACCTTGAGGACTAGAAACGCACTTGGGTGGTTGTTCTTGGGGGGGGGGAAAGAAGAGAGGGGCAGGCCCTTTTAGAGGGGGGAGGGGGAGAAGAAGAAGAGGCCAGGAGGAAGATGCCACCTTGAGGACTAGAAACGCACCTAGGTAGGTATGTAGGTGGGTGGGTGGGTGGGGGGCGGAGAAGAGGCGCGATCTCCCGGGTCGCCCGGGCGCCCGCGGGACCTCCTCCTCCATCCGAGGACTAGAAACGCGGTTGCGAGGAGAGGGGAGTGGGGGGTGGGGGGGGGGGGGGGGGGGTGTCTCTCTCACCTTGCGCTTCCTGCTCTCGGCCGAGCCGCTCCAGACGAAGCACTGGTAGATCACCCGCAGGTTCTGCTTCCAGTTCTCCACCTTGAAGCCGGTCACATGGCAGCACCCGGCGGCCGGCGGACTCATCTCCGAAGCCCCCACATCAATCCCCCGCCCGCCCCGCCGATGCGGCTACGGCTACGGCTGAGGCGGCGGGGGGAGGGGGAGGGTCTCGCGGGTGGGGGAGGGGGGAGGGAGAAGAGGCGGCTGAGGCGAGGGGGGGGTCTCTCTTCTTCCTCCTCCCTCCTCCTCCTCCTCCTCCCCCGGGAGGGGGGGCCACTGCGGGCCGATCCCCCTCCCCCTCTTTCTTTCCTTCCTCCTCCTCCTCCTCCTCCTCACGGGCGCGCTCCCTCAGGGCGGCGCGGCCGACTGCAGTGCCGGGGAGCGGCCGCTCGCTTCCTCCCTCGCCGCCGCCGCCGCTTCGCCTCAACCCCGCCCCCGGCTGCCGCTGCTCCTCCTGCCGCCGCCGCTGCCGCCGCTCCGAACAAAGCGACGACGACGACGACGGCGGCGGCAGCGGCAGCGCCGCACAAAGCTTTGAGGGGAGGAATCGGCGGGCGATTCTCCTCAGAGGTTCTCCTCAGAGATTCTCCTCAGAGAAGAAAAAGGAGGAGAGAATCTCCTGAGGAGAATCGCCGCCGCCGCTGCTGCTGCTGCTACCTCATGGAGGCCTCAGGGGAGGCGGCGGCTGTGGTGAGGGAGAAGGGGAAAGCCCTGGCAGCCGCGCCGGGCGAGGAGAGGGGTGTGTGCCGGGGCTGTGGCCGCCGCCGCCGCCGCCTCTTCTTCTTCTTCTTCGCCGCCGCCGCTTCCTTCCCTCCCCCCACCCGGGCTCGCCTGTCTCTTTAAATCGCGCCTCCTCGTCGCCGCGCGTGCTCTCCCTCTTCCCCACCTCCCCCCCCGCGCCGCCCTGAAATGAGCCCGTCCTCGGTAAGAGAGAGAGAGCGAGCGAGCGAGCGCGGCAGACTCCTCTCAAGCGCCGCCGCCGGGCCCGAGCGGGACAAACCAATTGGGAAAGGATCGGGGGGGGGGGGGAAAAGAGAGAGAGAGAGAGAGAGAGAGAAGTAAGGTAAGGAGGAGGAAGGGAGGGAGGGGGGGAGGAAGGAGTGGAAAGGAAAAAAAAAAAAAGCTAGAGAGGGTGGGAGGGGGAGGAAGGGGAGGAGGAAAAAAAAAAAAAGGAGGAGGAGGAGGAGGTCGGCCCTGCCTTGATTTAAGCCCAGGAGGGCCTCGGATTGGCCGCGCGAGGCGTACGTCCCGTCCTTCGGCCGCTTCTCATTGGCGGGCGCCGCCTTCCCTTACAGAGGGGGAATGGCGAGGAGAGGCCCTCCCCCTCCGCCGCCTTTGATTGACAAAGGAAGTTCTGGCGACGGGGAAAGTGGAAGAGAGAGAGACGGGGGGGGGGAGAGAGAAGAGGCGGCGATTGGCGGGCCCGCCCGCCGCTCTTTTAATCCCCGGCGGAGGATTGGCTGGGAGGAGGGTCACGGGGGTTAAGCGCCGCCCACACCCGAGGAGCCCAGACCAGACGGGAGGGGGGCGAGAGCCAGCCAGCCAGTCAGCCGGCGGGCAGGGCTGCTGTCACATCCGCTGGAGGCTTTGCAGGCTCTCCGTTCCCCCAGCGATTTCCCTGCAAGGAGGGGCGGAGCTGCCTGGAGGCTGCTCCCATTGACTCCGCTCCCACAGCCTTTCGCCCAGCCCCAATCCTTCCCCTGCAATGCAAAGCCCGATCCCCAGTTTTGCACCACCCGTGCAACACGTGCAATTCACGCTTGCACCACCCGTGCAACACGTGCAACTCCCGGGCTGCCTTCACACGACCTTCGGGTCAGATCGAATCGCACAGCCGGTCTTGAGAATGCAATCAGGCAAAAAAAAGAGGATCCGTGTCGAGCAAATAGACTAAACATTCAGTTCAACTCAGTGGCTCGGATGTATGTAATGTGAGAATGCAGCTTTGCTTGCTTTTTTTTTTTCCCCAAGGGCAACAACAACAACCAACAACATCCTTTCCCTGTCTTGGTTTCCTACTTTGGAATTAAAGCACAAGCCTTTGAACCTCCCGGAGGATTCCCTGCTCCGTTTTTTCAAGAGTTCGGAGAAGAGCAACGAAGATGATCAAAGGCCTGGAGGCTAAAACGTATGAAGAACGGCTGCAGGATTTGGGTTTGGCCAGTCTGAAGAAAAGAAGGACTAGCGGGGGACAAGGATAGCTGTAGTCTGGTATTTGAGGGGCTGCCACAAAGATCAGGGGATCAGATTATTCTCCAAAGCCACCTGAAGGCAGGACAAGAAACGATGGCTTGAAATGAACCAGAGAGAAGCGAGCTGGAATTAAGAAGAAACTTCCTACGGTAATAGTGAGGACCATTAACCAGTGGAACAGCTTGCCACCAGAAGTTATGGGTGCTTCATCACTGAAAGTTTTTTAAGAAGAATCTAGGCACTCACTTATCTGAAATGGTATACGTTCTCCTGCTTGAGCAGAGGGCTGGACTAGAAGACCTCCAAGGTCCCTTCCAGCTCGATTCTATTCTTATGGGGCTCCGGTACATTAACGCAGGTTTTGCCCCCACCCCCACCCCAAATTGGGATTTCAAGATGTCTTTGGCCTCAATTCCCCTAGGCTTTTAATTTCAAAGGCGTGGGTCCAGAGATTGGAAGATCAAATATAGACTCACCAGGAATCACTTGGAGTCATCCACGTGGCGAGAATTGGCAAGAAAGGTCGTAAAATGGCGAGAAAAGTCGTAAAATGGGGCAAAACTCACCGAACCAATTTCTCACTTAGCAACATAAATGTTGGGCTCAGTTGTGGTCATAAGGTGAGAACAACTTGTAATAATCCTCGGTGGGGCAAGCAGCCACAAGAGGACAGCTCTTAAAGTCATTCAGGGGAAGAATGTGGTTAAACAAGCAGCTGAAAACCAAGCGTCCCCCCCCCCTCTTGTGCCCAGCTATCACGTTACACACCTGGGCAGACTCTATTCCCCTTCCCACCTCCATGGGGAGGCTAACACAACCCAGCCCCGGTAATATGACAAGCCTTAATTCCCAGCATTTAAATCATTAGCTTCCAGGGTTTTCTGGGTCTCCCCAAGCAAGGCCATTAAGGGGCTGGTAATGTGTATTTAGATGCCAGCAGCCTGCGAGTGAACATAAGATTGTGTGTGGCCTTGGGGAAGTGCTGGAATTCACACACTGTCGGGCTCCAGTTACGTTCTTGTAACGCATGTGATCCCCGTTCAAAGTTACGATGGCACTGAAAAAAAGTGATACGACCATTTTTTTCCACAGTTACGACCTTGGCAACGTCCACGTGATCAAAATTCAAATGCTTGGCCACTGGTTTCATACTTACGACCGTTGCCGTGTCCCTAGATCATCCAGTCCGCTTTTGCGACCTCCTGACAAGCAAAGTCAACGGGGAAAGCTAGATTCACTTAACCACCATAAGGTGACTAACCTTATCAACTGCAGTGATTCACTTAGCAACTGCGGCAAAGAAGGCCGCAAAATGGGGCAAAGCTCACTGAAAAATATCTCGCTTAACCACAGAAATTTTGAGCTGAATCGTGGTCGTCGTTCAAGGACTACTTGTATCTAACACTCTGGCTTCCCAGGGACAGAATTTAGGGCCAATTTACTCCCCTGTTATGTACAGGAAGTCCTCGACTTGCAACCGTCTGTTTAGTGATTGTTTGAAGTTACAACGGCAGTGAAAAAAAGTGGGTTAGGGACCGGTTTTCCCACTTACAAAACAAATCCCCACGGTCATGTGATCCAAATACAGATGCTTGGCAACTGGCATGTACTTAGGACGGTTGCACTGTTGACAAGCAAAGTCAATGGGGAAATTTGCTTAACGACCGCATGATTCCCTTAACAACTGCGGCAGAAAAGGTCATGAAATGCAACAAATCTCGATGTAACAATCACCTCGCTTAGCAGTGGACATTTTGGGCTCAATTGTGGTCGTAAGTCGAGGACTTAACTATATTTTGTTCAAAAGTGCAAACCTTTCTTTTTTTTAGCCATTTTCCCATAATCTGTGAGATCAACAATTAATAAGTAAAAGCATCTTTTTCAGGGAACTTTTTCCCACCACAAGCATCAAGCCTTGTTTACAAGTCTACAGTTTCCTGTTTATCTCCACTTGGCTTGGGACACTAAATTAAGCCGTTGCCTAATCCTGGTTTATTGAATAAGCCCCAAATGTCCAGAATTGTAACGTTTTACATAGCAGCAACTATAATTTTTTTAAGCCACCCAGAATCTCGCCAACAATGAGATTGAGGGGGAGGGAATATAAATTTAATATATAAAATAAACTATATAGGATTGAATTCGTACATCAGCAAAAACAAGCCATTGTGAAATTTGACTTTATTACCAGCAGGTAGGCCCCAAAAAAGCAGGTAATACCTTGATGAGGTATTGTCCTCATTTGGGAGGCATGTGATTTTTCTCCTTTCCTTTCCTTCCTTCAGACTGGACAGAAAAGAATACATTCCTTTTGGCAGTCTCCAGATCACGGAATAGCAGATGGCAAGACTCAACACGGGGTGGAAAAATCAATGTTGAGCAAAGAGGAAGACGATTGCAAAGCAGGAAGACGCCCTGACCTTGAGAAAGGCGGGTGGGTGGGCTTTGTGAATTTAAAACCGGCGGCTGTTTAAATTCTCCCAACGGCCTTGGGCGCTAAACCAAGAAGGTTTACAATCCACGGCTTTCCGAGACCTGACACCATCAACAGAAAGTATGGTGGTGGGTTGCTCTTTTAAAAAAAATCCTTGCAGGTTTTCCATATATGTGTGTGTGTCTGTGTTTGCAGGCATGGGAAACACGGAGAAAATTCCATTCTTTTTCACTGCAGCAATCCACCCAGCGATATACATTCATTTTGGAAACCAGAGCCTCAAAAAGCAAGCTGATGATGAGTGTGAACAAATGTGGGGTGAGCTGCTTAATTCAGCCGGGGAGCCAATGACGTCCCCTTTGTTTTCCTCTCCAGCATCAATAAGTATTTTTTTTCCCTCCCCTTCCCAAACTGATTGTCAGAGAGAGAGAGGGAGAGAAGCAGAGAAGGAAAGGACACCTGGACAGCAATGTGTGTTTCGTTTCGCGGTGGTTCGATTTTATTTATTTATTTATTTTTAGGTGCATTGGGAGGGAAGAAGCGGCTTGCACCAACGCACGGATCAACAGCAACATCTACTGGCCAATGTAAGGAGTGAGCCTTGGTTAATAGGCTCTGCAAAGAAGCAATTGCAATAAATACAAAACGGACAAATGAAACGGGAGGTGTTTTTTTTTTCCCCTGGCCCTTAGGGAAAAAAAACACACACACACAAAGGGCTTTGACAGCATGAACTGTTCCTAGGTTTGTTGGGCTTTGCAAACCAGCCCTTGAGGGATTCGGGGATGTGTTTAATGGGGACAGAAGAGAAAACTTCTACGGATTTGATTAGCAACTTCTTCCATTGCACGGAATGATAAGAAAAGAGAGATTTGATAAGGAGGAACCTGTGCTGTCCAAGGTTCTGGGCAAGAGATGGGATGGTTTTAGATCCAGATCCTAGTCCACTTGTCAACCAGGGAAGTCCTCATTGCATGACTTTGGAGAAACCTGTCTTGAAAAAATATTGGGATCTATAGGAGTGGGGCCTGCGAGTCCTTTGGACTGCAAGGCGATCGAACCGGACAGTCCTAAAGGAGATCAACCCTGACTGCTCTTCAGAAGGCCAGATCCTGAAGATGCAACTCAAATACTTTGGCCACCTAAGGAGAAGGAAGGACTCCCTGGAGAAGAGCCGAATGCTGGGAACGATGGAGGGCAAAAGAAGAAGGGGACAGCACAGAACGAGATGGCTGGATGGCTTGAGCTTAAATGGACTCCAGAGGATGATAGAGGACAGGAAGGCCTGGAGGAACATTGTCCATGGGGTCACGATGAGTCAGACATGACTTCGCAACTAACAATGGGAGTGGAGTGGCTAATATATTCAAATATATAAACAGAAGGAGGCATGCTATATGCACTGCTTCGACCAGGGGGTGTTTTAAAAAAAGATGGCAGTCATAACAACTTGGCTGGCTGGGGAAACACTGGGAGTTGGAAGTCCAAAAATCATAAAGTTGCCAAAGTTGAGAAAAACACCGAAACAGTAAACACATTGTCTTATACCTGCAGAGATTAATGTATTGATTGCCTCTTGCTCCACGTTAAAACTTTGCCTAATAGTCCGTGGCTTTATCATATACTTGAAACTACCTCTGTGCTTAAGTTGAAATCCAGTCATCAGTTTTGTGAAATAATGCTTAATGCAACCCACAATCCTTCCAGGAGAAAATTCTCTTCTGCTCCTGCTTCATTTAGCAGGGAAGAGATTTGCGACTAAACGCAGACCTGCTCGGCTTCTGTCAACGGAGCTCAATGAGGGATGAATAATGAGAAATATTAATCTAGCAATATTGGAAGGAGCATAGGGTCATCAATGCAGATAATCATTTTGTGACTTCAGTTTTACACGATTTGGCTAGATTTTTCTCCCCTCTTTCTAATGTAAGCTTAAATAATATGTTTGGTCAGAGAGAGGTTGAGATTTTAACAAGCTTGAATATTATTTTCATTCAGAGTTGAGATAAATGATACCTAAAACAAGGTGTAAACATTAAAGTATTGTGTAAGTTGAGCTGGTAACTTCATGATCTCCTCATTCATTTGTTCAAATTTTTAGCATGGTTTAACTTTGTAAATACAATTTTTTTTGCCAATTATCTAAGAATTTTACTTCAGCTTTGACCTCTCTTTTCTGAATTAGAAGATAAACAGCTACCTAAACTTTTGAATTAAGTAACACATAACTTACTTCACTGTCTGCTTTTATCACAGTCCAAAAAATTTGGTGCGCCTTAATCATACTTTGTACAATATAAATCCAACCTAACTGTAAGAAATACAGAATAAATTTTAAAAGCTTATCACCTACACATTTCTTCATGCATTTCTTTCCTTCTTTCTAGTTTTGTAATCCTTCGAAACAGCCAAATTGTGTGAATGGTTTTAGATTTAACTCAAATATTGGACAATTGAGGCTGAACAGCTTCCTATTCCTTGAACTTGATTCTTAAAAAGAGGCGCGGAGGGCATTGCCATTATATTCTGAGTTACTGTGTTTTGTCTAGCAGTCTTCTCATTTCAAATGGTGAACACCACTGGAATTAATGCTTCCCTCCTGGGCTAGTGCTAAAAGAGCAGCAATAAGGAGCATCCTGCTGGGGGGAAACAGCCCTTAGGGGGCATTGCAGATTTTCATTGACAAGCAGATGGCAATGGTGTATAGGAACAGAAGCTACACAGAAGCTTTTGTGAAGCAAAGCACCACAGATGTTGGTAGGAAGGCGAGAATGGAAGAGAAAATAGTCCGGGATTTTTTCAAACTTGGCAATTTTAAGATGAATGGACGTCAATTCCTAGAATTCAACTCCTGGCCAGGGCTTTTCTAGTCAATTATACAACCCAGTCTTTATTAAAGAATCCATTTTAATCAATATCACAATACATAACTTGTTTCAGAATATGATTTTAAAAATATTGTTCACTTGCCTTACTTTTACAAATACTATGTGAATTCTTAGTGGGATTTCTCTCAGGTTGAATGGATAAAAATATATTTTTATTACGTTGTTATAAATCTTAGCAACTGTGTTCTTTTGTATGTTGATGTTTGCGTAACATGTTTAGACATTACTGCATTAACATTAGTTAAATAACTTAGAACATTGAGAATAGAAAAAAAAATCCATCAATGTCACTATTTACCATTGCCACATGCATACACACACATAGGAAAAAGTACACAAAGCAAATGTAATTCGAAATTGTATATATTAAAAACATTCCCTGAAAATCACAATAGGAAAATAAACTATTAATATTGCAGACCTAAAGAATTGAGTCAATTCCTGGTACTATATACTTGGACAAATCCAAGCAGTTTTCCTACGATACATAGAAACGGTTCCATTGTTTTCCTTACAGAGTAGTTTTCTGCTTCCAAATATATATCCAGCTGATCTAGGAAACATGTTCAGGGCCAAAAATTCATTTTAAGAAACCCTCATCAACAAAATATTATGCAAGAAAATGCTTTTTCCTTGAAAATAAGGACTCAAGCATTTAGGCGAAAACTCTCTTAAGAGCATTATTATGGGTAAATGAGAAAAAAAAATCCCTCTTAAATCTTCAATTGGCCCCTCCTTATTCAAGATTCATGAAAGCTCCATTCCTGCTTTTCCACTGCTTATCTCCCTTGCTGACCTAAAAAACCAGCAAATCATATTTTATCTTATTTTTTTTTCCTTTCCTTGGACTCTAAAAAAAGATAAAATACGATTTGCTCTAAGGCTAGAGAGATTACTGGGTCGGAACTCTAAACCAGGCGGAACGCTATTCCTACGGTCAAGGTTTCCGGAGGGAATTTAAAGGCAACCGGACCGCCTATCGCATCGATTGCTTCGGGGCGTTCGACCACGCGCCGTCGCTGATTGGCTGCTGCTCCGATAGCTCCGCCCGGCGTCTGGTTTGAAACGGTGCGTCTTGATTGGACACAGGGGAGAGAGGGGGCGGGGAAAAGGTGTCATTCCCACTTCCGGATATGTGATCACGCTGATGGGGGTTGCAAGGTAGTTTGCATGAAACCAGAAAAGGGAGGGGGGAGTTGGTGGGGGGGGGATATATGTCTTGGGGGGGGGTCACAATTATAAATATGGGGAGCTAGTTATATAAATCTGGGAAGATGGGAGGAGCCAGAATTGCTTTTCCAAGTCTTCCATGTTGGGCATGGGATTACAGTGCCCATCATCCACAGCAAGTGTAATAGCTGGATTGGGATGGGTGTTGTTCTTTTGGGGGGGGGGCACATATATTCTTGCTAAATGTGAGGATCCTGGCTACATACCCAGAAAAAGGGATAGAGTTGCTTTCCCAATTCTTCCGTATTGGGCATTGGATTACAATGCCCATCATCCACAGCAAGTGTAATAGCTGGATGGGAGGTGTTTTTCTTTGAGAGAGTTCATATATTTTTGCTAAATGTGGGGAGCCTGGTTATATAAATCCAGAAAGAAGGTAGATGGAAGAGGGATAGAGTTTCTTTCCCAACTCTTTCTGGTTGGGCATTGGATTGCAGTGCCCATCATCCACAGCAAGTGTAATAGCTGGATTGGGATGGATGTTGTTCTTTGGGGGGGGCAGTCATATATTCTTGCTAAATGTGGGGAGCCTGGCTACATAAATCCGGGAAGAGGAGTAGAGTTGCTTTCCCAAGTCTTCCGTATTGGGCATTGGATTGCAGTGCCCATCATCCACAGCAAGTGTAATAGCTGGATGGGAGGTGTTCTTCTTTGAGAGAGTTCATATATTCTTGCTAAATGTGGGGAGCCTGGTTATATAAATCCAGAAAGAAGGTAGATGGAAGAGGGATAGAGTTACTTTCCCAATTCTTTCCGGTTGGGCATTGGATTGCAGTGCCCATTATCCACAGCAAGTGTAATAGCTGGGCATGATGGACATTCCTGTCCAAAACAGAGTGTGCTGGTTGCAGAGTTGGTGGATGGAAAGGATGTAGGAGGCCATGGCTGGATCAGTCGGGATGGGAATTGTAGTCCAATGATTATGGAAGGCAATGGATGGGAACCATGTTAGGCTAAAGGAATATAACGGAATGGGTAATGGAATTCCTCCAGACATGGGTGGGGAGAGAGAGTTTAGAGCAACGTTCTCAATCTCAGCAACGTTAATTCGATTCATTTGTTTCAGTTCCCAGAAATCCCCAGCCAACAATTGAACTCCAGACTTCTTAAAGCTGCCAAGGTTGAGAATCTCTGGGTTGGAAGGTGAGACTAGGAGTTGATCTTAAGGCAGTTGACATCTGTCAGACTAACTTACCTTGTAGGATCATGATTGGGCTATGTATTTATCTGATTTACTAATTAACGGTTATTAGTTGTTGTAACTCGCTGACTATATTCACCATGGATGATGAAATAGCTGCATTTTGGCTTCGAGTGTTTGTCCGCAAAGGCTTTGGAATTCATTTAGGACGGTGTTTCTCAACCTTGGCAGCTTGAAGATGGGTGGACTTCAACTCCCAGAATTCCCATAGCTGTCTGGGGAATTCTGGGAGTTGGAAGTCCACCCAACTGCGAGCTCTTATGGTGAGAAAAGCTGCTTTGGGAAATCCAGAAGATTTGGCATCTTGAGTCATCCTTAATTATGTTTGCCTCAAAGCCAAACTGGAATCTCAACATTTTCGTAATATTAACATAGCAGACTTGCCGCTAGAGTCTGCTTTTTTTTCCTTCTTCTTGGAATCAAGATCCATAGAATTGAACTTCTCAGAGAGTGTGGCATTTTAATCCAAGACGATATTGAAAAAAGATCAAGCTAATTGAGGGATTCTCTTGAGTTCTAATTGCTGCTGGGTTGGGATGCTTAACAAGTAGACTCTTGTTGTGTCTTGATCTGAAACTCTTGAGCAATTTAATTTAGTTCCATCACTTCAAGCAAGTTCAAAAATATGTCAGTAAATACCGGCAATTGAATGGATGTATGGAAAATAGGCACATGTAATTATGAGTATATGCCTTACGTGCAAAGTGAAAAATGGAATGGAAAAATGGATCTCTTCCAGGGGTGAAATCCAGCAGGTTCTGACAGGTTCTGGAGAACCGGTAGCGGAAATTTTGAGTAGTTTGGAGAACCGGCAAATACCACCTCTGGCTGGCCCCAGAGGGGGGTGGGAATGGAGATTTTGCAGTATCCTTCCCCCTGGGGTGGGGAGGGAATGGGGATTTTGCAGTATCCTTCCCCTGGAGTGGGGAGGGAACGGGGATTTTGCAGTATCTTTCCCCCAGGAATGGGGTGGGAATGGAGATTTTGCAATATCCTTCCCCTGGAGTGGGGAGGGAATGGGAATTTTGCAGTATCCTTCTCCTGGAGTGGGGAGGGAATGGAGATTTTGCAATATCCTTCCCCCAGGAGTGGGGAGGGAATGGAGATTTTTCAGTATCCTTCCCGTGGAGTTGGGTGAGAATGGAGATTTTGCAGTACCCTTTCCCTGCCACGCCCACCAAGCCACACACACAGAACCGGTAGTAAAAAAAAATTGAATTTCACCACTGATCTCTTCCCTGCTTGATTAACCGTCACTTGGTATGTTTCCTACATCCAGCATAAGATGGAGTCGATTGTCCAACTCCCTAATTCTGAATTTACAACCTCCATTTGCGGTTTGTAAAAGCTCTTGGGCCTTATTGGCAAGGAAACAGGAGGAGGCGGTATTTGAGAACAGAACCCCTTGTGGCAAGACCTGGCAAGAAAAGAACTAAATTTAGCTTGCAAAAAAAAGAAGGACCAGAATTTTTATTTTTATTTTTCCCATGTAGGTGAAACCATTCTGAATCATTAAACGCTGGCAAGCACAGTCTGGTGCTGTTAAAATTAAAAATAGTTAGCAGACAGACAGCTTCCAGTGCAGCTTGTTTTCTGCCCGAGGCAGACTGGAACTCATGGCTTCTCGTTTCTAGTCTGGTGCCTTCACCACTAGATTAGACGTACAAATACCCTCCCAATTTCTTTAATCCGATGTAGTCTTCTTTTTTTTAATAATTGTTTAAAATTTTTGCTATATAAAAGAAAGAGCAACACATTCAGTGTCTAGATCAGTGTTTCTCAACCTTGGTAGCTTGAAGATGGGTGGACTTCAACTCCCAGAATCCCCCAGCCAGCAGCATGAGCAGAGCTGCCAGAAGGCAAGAGCAGCTAAAGCAAAAAGGAGTAAGGACTCGGGAGTAAGGCTTGGAGAGGATTGGCCCCTCCCATAAGGCTTAAAAGAGGAGCAAAGGCAAGTGGGCCCTTTGAAGGAAAGCAACGTGGCTAATTCTGTTCCCAGTCGGCATCTCTGGTTGATTCTGGACTCCGTGTGGTTTTGCCAAGTAGGTCTTTGGCAGCGTGGTTGGTGATTATCCCGAAGGACATATCCCGAAGGACTTTTTGCAACTAATTGGGACTTAGCTGTGAATGAACGTAATTCATAGCTGTTGCAATAAAAGAGGTTTTTGGGACTACTCGTGTTGTTTTAATGACTCAGGAAGCCTAAGTCACAACAGACATCCATTCATTGTTAAAATAATAGGCACGCCTGTAACATTACAGTGGGTTATTTGGAGACTGTCTCTGCTCTCATGTGCCACTTCTTAGCTTGGCCATCAGCCATTTATCTATTTAAATCTTTTGGCCGGTGGGGGTTAAAGCTTCAGAGACCAGCATGGGACGCTGCTCTGCCATTGAAGCTTCTATTTTTTCCCGCAACGTAGGACCTTACAATATTCACCGTGACACCCCTCAAACCTTAAGACTTAGAAGAGAAAATCTTATGCTTTCTTGCTCGTCTCATTTCTCCGTCTCCCAGTTAGGATTTATTTTGCATTAGGCATTTCTTTTTCTTTTTTTTTTTTAAAAAATCCAGCAGGCCCTTTAAGCCTGCCTTCATAGCATTGATTGCCATATTGAATTGCTGGAAACGCTCATCTGAGATTGTCTCGATGGCCAGTTTAAATTCAGCCGAATGCAGTTTTTAAGAGCCCAAAACGTTGCTTTTTTTTTTTTTTTTTAAATCTCTGCAAGGCTGAAGGATTTCTACATTTAACAGTTCCGCAGAATGGGTTTTTTTCTTACGATTCCTTAAATTGAGAACTGTACATGTATCGGAGCAGCTAATCCCATTTGGCAATGAATATGTAACAGGGAGCATTTCTTTTTCACTTGTTCTTCTTCAGTTATTCAGGAAGACATTGAAATAAACTTACGAGCCTCTTAACTGGGCAGTAATTTATTGCACACTGTCTTGTTAACTGCAAGTCAAGTCCGGATGGCCATATATACAGGCTATTGCTTAACGCATTGTAAGCTGCCCTGAGTCTCCGGAGAAGGGCGGCATATAAATTGAACTAATAATAAAATAAATTAGATAGATAGATAGATAGATAGATAGATAGATAGATAGATAGATAGATAGATAGAGTCAACTTGCAAAGCTTTCAAGTTGCCATGAGCAGGAGGGAGGGAGAACTGAAGTGAATTCCATACATTCTTTCTGACCGCAATCAGAAGGAGGGTGTTAGGTTTCGTAGCCAGCCAAAGTGGTTAATTGGAGAATGTGATTTATGACACGGCCAGAGAGGAGGGGAGAGACAGGGTCATAGGGGAACGTAAATCTACGTAGGATCAGTCCTAACTGCATCCAAGTATTGCCGGAATGTTGCTCCTAATAAATGACTATATTTCCTTTGAAGTTTGGATCATGGCTCATGAATTAATTAGGGCATCTTTCGGAAACTTGACATATATATATATATGCATATTCTTTCTAGCCAGGTTTTACCTACGTAAGCTAAGATGTTCTACAGCCCTAGTTCTGTGAAATCTCATTCACAAGTAGGAACTTGTAGGAACAGAACTAGGGCTGTAGAACATCTTAGCTTACGTAGGTAAAACCTGGCTAGAAAGAAGATGCACATAAAAGCCTACGAAAAAGAAAAAGAAATATATGTATGTATGTATGTATGTATGTATGTATGTATGTATGTATGTCATTTCAAAGAGCTTTTGGAATTTCCGCTGCTGCTCTCGTGTCCCCGAACAATCTCCCTGTAGAGATTTTACTGTTAGAACTTTCTTTCGAGTGAGAAGATCGGAAATGGTTTACTTGGCACCGGGTTTGGTTGCAGCAGCAAACTACCTTCCAGAACCAGGCGGTCTCAAGGACAATAAGGCTTGTTGTCTGACTCTGGATCCAGGGGCTGGTCTGAGGTGGACGCAACGGACGGCAAGGTGGTCTTGGCATTTTCTCGAGTTTTGATTTGTTCGGCGTGTGTGTTTGTGTGTGTGTGTGGTTTTTGCCTCCTCTTTGAATGGGAGCTCGCTTGATAACGTGATAACTCCGTCGCAAAATTGGCTCCCACAGGCTCTTAAACTTTTCAACATGAACTCGAGGCGCATGCTTTTTTTTTTTTTTACAAGTTTTACTTGTTTTATTTACATAACGTTCAATTTTGATCAAACGGTGTGCGATCTGGGTAAAAGTTATATTTAAATAATCGTAATACAACGCTTCGTTGTGATATCCATCACCGTAATATTGCTAATATGCTAACATAAATAAGACCAGGTCTTATATTAATTTTTGCTCCAAAAGACGCATTAGGACTTATTTTTCTGGTAAGGTCTTCTTTTTTTTTTTTTTAATTTGATTTATATGCTGCCCTTCTCTGGAGACTCAGGGCGGCTTACAATGTGCTCAGCAATAGCTTTCATCCTTTTGTATATTTATACAAAATCAGCTTATTGCCCCCACAAACTGGGTCCTCAATTTACCTACCTTAGAAAGGACGGAAGGCTGAGTCGACCTTGAGCCTGGCGAGATTCGAACCTGCAGTAATTGCAGGCAGCTGGTCTTAATAACCAGCTTAATAACAGGGTGCCTTAGACCACTGTACTACCAAGGCTCTTGTTCCCCATATTTTGGGGAAAATATGGTACCAAATGCACCCATCTGGCTGACAATCTTAACTGGGGCTTATTTTGTGGGTAGGGCTTATATTACGAGCATCCTGAAAAACTCATGCTAGGGCTTATTTTCTGAGAAACAGGGTAACAGTAATACTTAATACTTAAATAATAAGTATTTAAATAATAATAAGTAAACAGTAATACTTAAATCATCTTCTTTAACAACTCTCCACTTTAACATTTCCTCTTTTTATATCTCCTCCCTTCTTAACTTCTATTTCTGTTGTCTAGCCATTGATAAAATATGCCCCATATCAGATTATATTCAGTTTCTTCTTTGTCCTTAATAATAAGCGTTAGTCTATCCATTTCTGCGCATTCTAATATTTCCTCAGACAGGATCTCATCATTTTTCCATTGTTGTGCAAATACAATTCTAGCTGGGGTTAGTATATGCCAGGGGTCAGCAACCCGCAGCTCTGGAGCCGCATGTGGCTCTTTCACCCCTCTGCTGCGGCTCCCTGTCGCTCAAAATATGTGTCACAACCGCCAATGTGCGACATCCGCCGGCACGCCATTTATTGAGCTTTTTGACCTCCGGTAGGCCAACCATGGATAAATCCAAGAAAAGAAAAGTTTCAGAAGAAAACAGAACTTTTACTTCAACTATGTATGCTAGTTTTGTGGCCGCTCAGGAAATAGTCAGGCACGGGAAGGGTTTTGTGGCTCCCGGTGTTTTCTTTTCTGTGGGAAATGGGTCCAAATGGCTCTTTTGAGTGTTTTAAGATTGCCGACCCCTGGTATATGCAAAATCAAATATGTAGTCTTTTTATCATATTTTTCTGGTAGAATGCCCAACAAAAATATCCCTAACCCTAATCCTAACCCTAACCCTAACTCGAGGCATGCTTCATTGTCCTGGATTCAGTTCAGAAGCTGCTGTTGTCGGATTTTTAACTCTTTTTGTGTGTGTGTGTGTGTGTGTTAATGTTAAGTTTTCCTGTATTATTATTTTGCAAACCCTCTTATAGATGGCTTTGTTTAACGATTGGCATTCCACTTTGCTTAAGAAGCTAAGCGCGTTTTGCAAACGAAATTAAAGGAATGCATGGGTCGTTAACGAAGCTAACCTCGATGACGGCAAGGTTGGAAATCTTAAAAATTTACCCTAATCGTAATTTTAACATGCTGGCTAGGGAATTCTGGGAGATGAAGTCCACCCGTCTTGAAGTTGACAAGGTTGGGAATCCCTGACTTAAAAGAGTTAACAATCCATCTATTTCACATGCCTTTTTTTTTTCTTCCCCCCTTCATTCCTTTCTGCCCCTCCAGGAGAAATCAAAAGCTCATGGATTTCACCACTGGAATCTTTCTTCCGCTGCTTTTCGGTGGCGCAGGGGTCTTCGCTCTCTTACGATTGGTCCGAAGAATCCAGGCAAGGGCCTATCTGAAGGACGCAGTAGTGGTGATCACAGGAGCGACTTCTGGACTGGGGAAAGGTAAGGTTTTGATCTGGCACAGAAGAGGGACATACCTCCTGCTTTTCCATAGCTAGAGCTGCACTGCAGACTAAACCAGCACGTGGTTGCCTCGTTTCTAGCTAAGCAAGTTGAGTCAACCCAGCCATTGGTGGTTTAACTAACAAACCACGAGAGAGCAAACTATAGCTTAGCACAGGATGGGAACAGTGGTGGGTTTCAAAAATTTTCGCTACCGGTTCGGTGGGCGTGGCTAGGTGAGGGGGGCATGTGACTGAGTGGGTGTGGTCAACTTGACATCACCACGCCCACTCAGTCACATGACACCCCCCCACCTAGCCACGCCCAAAAGGAAAAGGTAGGAAAATTTTTGGAATTTCCACCTATCTACCCCCGTCCTCCCTTCGCCAGTCGCCCCAGTTTCCCCTCCTTTAGTGGCCCCGGTCCTAGCCCCACTTCCTCCCCCACCACCGACTCTTTGTTCGGGCTGTTTATTTTCCACAGCGGCTGGTCCAGAGTCTGGAAGGTAAGTGTCAGCGTTCCAGCGCTGACATATAAAAAGGAGAGGAGAAGCTTGAACTTTTGCCTCCTTAATTCCTTTGAAGATTCTGTTCCCTCGGAGATGGGAGGAGGGGTGGGACATTCCTGTGATCTGACGGAGATGGGATGAGGAAGATAGCCAATGAGGAAGATAGCCAATGAGACGCAGAGAATTGGGGATCGGAAAGGAAGGGGGGGCAAAGGTCAGTGCTGACAGCAAAAGAGCCAGGGACAGATCACTATGCTCAATAAAGAGAAAATTTCCTCAAAGATCGGCAGTTTGGAAATTCATTTATTTTGAGATAGCATTGAAACCTGACAGTAAGCTGACTGGAGTTTTTGGCTGCCCCCAACCAGCTGCCGCTGCTGGAAAGCAGCTGGCAAAGAAGCCTTCCAGACTGCCGAAAAGTACCGGAGGTCACGGAAAAAGCTACTGCCATCGCCGCCATGTTCTTCGCGCATGCACATCCCATTGGACTTGCAAGACAATGGGATGCACGTGTGGCAAGAACATGGCAGCAATGAACATGGCGAGCGGGGTGAGCGAGTGGCAACTGGGAGACCGGTTCGGGGGCGTGGCCAGCCGGCCATCGCTACCGATTTAGCGACTGTGGCCAAATTTCCACCAACGGTTTGCGCGAACCGGTGCGAACTGGCTGAATAACACCTCTGGATGAGAACCTAGTCTGTGTGTTGCCTTGAGAGGCAGGAAACCAAGATAATTGGGAAAGAGCTGGCTTCAGGTGGATAGGGGGAAAAAAATGTTTTGCATTCTTTATTTGTGGAGGGGAACTTGATTTTTTTTTAATCTTGCAATCGGGTTTTTAAAAAAACCTCTTTGCAACACTTAGCTGTCATCCTTTCTAAAAAAATATATATATATGCAGAATTTTTTCCTCTGGGAAACCGAGGCTAAAATTAGGTCATTATTTCCCTCGAGATATTTACCTTCTTAAACACCTACATAAGCATGGCAATATACACTTTTTTGCCTTCATAAAATGCCTTTTTTATTTTTTTGTCAAGAAAGAAGTGCTGTTGCTCGAGTTAGCAGGACTGAGCAACTGCATCCATTAAAAACATGGTGGGAAGTAGAATTGGGATAGCACAACATTGGAAACAACCAGACACCCCTCCGGATCAAATCATAATTTAAAAAAATATGTGCAGAGATGGACAGATTAACTATGGAAATGAAGGAGAGGGAGAACACCGAGTACTATTTAATATGGAATAAATGGTATTCCCGGTTGGAGAGTAAACATAAAACTTAAGGGATGTTTTTGTTACGAGATCGAAATGTAAATAGAAGTCAAGATCATTTAGATTTTAGATAAAGACGTTAAGTTTAAAATAGAGATATTTAGAAGTAGAATTTGTGTAAAGACGTTAAATAGGCTAGAGATACCGATGCAGAAAAGTTATTAGTATTGGAATTTTGATATGTTTGTTTTTGGTTGTTTATATTTTTTGTTTTTTCTGTGTTTGTGTGTTTATCATGCTTTTTTTTGTGTATTATGTTTCTTTTTGTACTATGAATTTTAATCTTTGGAAACTTATTTTTTTAAAAAAATAAAAACAGGGGAGGGCAGACTGGCTCCTGTTGGAAATTCATCCAGAATGGTCAATAGAAAAAGCTTGTAAAAGTGATTCAGTCTTCCTCGGTTTACGACCATTATTGAACCCCCAAATTTCTGCTGAAAAACCAATCATAAGTCACTTTTTTTCCAGTGCTGTTCTAACTTTCAACGGTCACTAAACAAACCGTTGTAAGTCAAGGAGTCCACCACAGTGGTGAAATGCAAAATTTTTTGCTACTGGTTCTGTGGGCGTGGCTTGGTGGGCATGGCTTGGTGGGGGGGGTCATGTGACTGGGTGGGCATGGCCAACTTCCCCCCCCCTTTTAAAAGCATTTTTTACTACCTATTCGCCTGAACCGGTAGCTAAAAAATGCTTTAAAAAAGTAAAAAAAACCAGGTTCCAATGATCACAGCTGTGCCGTGCGATTGTTGGAACTTTTTTTTACTTTTTAAAGCATTTTTTTTACTACCGGTTCGCTCCAGCCGGTAGTTTTTATCACTACCGGTTCGCCCAAACCGGAGCGAACCGGTAGCATTTCACCCCTGCTCCACCACTTCTAAAGGGCATATCAGGTTTTATGGGCATCCTGGGCTTATACAATCAAACAGACACTCACTCTCTCTTCCTGCTCTCTTCCTGGCCAGAATGCGCCAAAGCTTTCCACGCTGCGGGATCCCAATTGGTGCTGTGTGGCCGAAGTGCGGAGAGGCTCCAGGGTGTTCTCCAGGAGTTATCTGCTGCCGCTGACCCCCTCAAAAACGTGAGTAGTGACAGAGAAGGCAAGAGGCAAGTTGGGAAATTGATTTTGTGGTTCGCACTCACTTAACTTTGGTGGGAAGGGAACAGCGTTCCGTGCGCCTTTGGCGTTGAGTCATGCCGGCCACATGACCACGGAGACGTCTTCGGACAGCGCTGGCTCTTCGGCTTTGAAACGGAGATGATCACCGGCCCCTAGAGTCGGGAACGACTAGCACATACATGTGAGGGGAACCTTTACCTTTAAACTCATTTAGCAAGGGAAATTTTGTGCTCGTCGTGGTCGTAAGCCGAGGACTACCTGAACAATAGAATAAAGTGCTCGCTTCGGCAGCACATATACTAAAATTGGAACGATACAGAGAAGATTAGCACGGCCTCTGCGCAAGGACGACACGCAAATTCGTGAAGCGTTTCATATTTTTTAACATTTAAAAAAAAAAAAATTAGAAGGCTAGGCTGCAAATCCTGTAGCTGAAAAGGTTCGGGTGCAAAAAGTTGTGGGGTTTTGATTTCCCCGCTCCCTCTCCTCCTCCATTTTCACAGGGCCACAAACATCACACGATGGTTTTTGATCTCTCGGATATCAAAACGGTAGTGAGTGCTGCGAAGGAGATTTTGAGCTGCGTGGATCATGTCGATATTTTAATCAACAACGCTGGGATCAGCTACCGGGGCATCATAACAGAGACCGCGATCGAGGTGGACCGGAAAGTGATGGAAACCAATTATTTTGGGCCGCTTGCTTTGACGAAAGGTAAGCTCTCAAGACGTTGATTTCCATTTCCAGGTGAGAAAGGACCCTCCCCCACCCCCCCAAAAAAAATCAGATCCGAGCAATGTAGCAAAATCATGAATCAAATAAATAACGGGAAGAATAGAATTGAGACAAAACTGCAGGTAATCCTGGATTTAAAACCGTTGTTTCGGACGCCTGGCAACGGGAAGGCGTTGGTGATGGTTTCAGCCGCCATTTTTGTATTTATAGCAATAGCAACAGCACTTATAGACTTATATATCGCTTCACAGTGCTTTTACAGCCCTCTCCAAGCAGTTTATAGATTCGGCATATTGCCCCTGACAATCTGGGTCCCGGTTTGGAAGGGTGGAAGGTTGAGTCAACCTTGAGCCGGTCGGGATCGAACTGCCCACAGCCGGCAGTCAGCAGAAATAGCCTGCAGTACTGCATTCTAACTACTGTGCCACCATGGCAAGGGAGGGAGGGGAGAGGAGGAAGGGAAGGAAGGAAGGAAGGAGGGAGAAAAGGGAGGGAGAGAAAAAAAAGGAAAGGAAGGAAAGAAGCAATAGGAAAAGGGAGAAAATGAAGGAGGGAGGAGAAAAGGGAGAAAATAAAGGAAGGGAGGGAGGGGAGAGAAAAAAAAGGAAAGGAAGGAAAGAAGCAATAGGAAGGAAGCAAGGAGAAAAGGGAGAAAATAAAGGAAGGGAGGAGGGAGGGAGAGAAAAAAAAGGAAAGGAAGGAAAGAAGTAATAGGAAAGAAGGAAGGAGAAAAGGGAGGGAGAGAAAACAAAGGAAAGGAAAGAAGTTATAGCCTTAGCACTTAGACTTATATATACCGCTTCATAGTGATTTACAGCCGTCTCTAAGCAGTTTACAGAGTCAGCCTCTTGCCCCCAACAATCAGGGTCCTCATTTTACCCACCTCAGAAGGATGGAAGGCTGAGTCAACCTTGAGCCGGTCAGGATCGAACTGCTGACAGTGGGGCAGAGTCAGCCTGCAATACTGCATTCTAATGGAAGGGAGGGAGGGAGGGAAGGCAATAGCACTTAGACTTATATACCGCTTCACGCTGCTTTACAGCCCTAAGTGGTTTACAGAGTCAGCCTCTTGCCCCCAACAATCTGGGTCCTCACTTTACCGACCTCAGGACAGAAGGCTGAGTCGACCTGGAGCCGGTCAGGATTGAACCTCTAGCTGTGGGAATGCAGAGTCAGCCTGCAATACTGCATTCTAACCACTTGCGCCACCACAGCTCATATTTATATTTGCATTTATGTATTTATGACGATCGATCACATGATCCCCGTTTGGGACCTTCCCAGCCGACTTTCAACCGGGAAAGTCAGTGCGGGGGTGGGGTGGGGGAGGGGATCCGGATTCGTTTAACGACCGTGTGATTCGCTTAACAACCGTGCTCAAAACTGGGTAAAATCAGGCCGACTGAATGACGGCCTCGCTCAGCGATGGCAATGTTGCTCCCCGATGGTCGTCGTAAGTCGAGGACGACCTGCGGTTGTTACAGTCGTGTTTGGAAGGTCTTAATTTTTCTCCCCTCTTCCATCCCAGCCCTCCTGCCTGCCATGATCAAGAGGAGGAAAGGGCACATCGTCACCATCAGCAGCGTGCAAGGCAAAATCAGCATTCCTTTCCGCTCGGCGTGTAAGTCCTGCCTTGTTGTGGGTTCGCGTGGCTTTTAAGGGCCGTCTTTTAACCTGTGAGGTTTCGTGTTTTTGTTTTTGTTTTTGTTTTTAATTTGATTTATATGCCGCCCTTCTCCGGAGACACAGGGCGGCTTACAATGCATTAAGCAATAGCCTTCATACTTTTGTATATTTATACAAAGTCAGTTTATTGCCCCCACAAACTGAGTCCTCAATTTACCTACCTTAGAAGGGATGGAAGGCTGAGTCGACCTTGAGCCTTGGCGAGATTCGAACCAGCAGAAATTGCAGGCAGCTGTGTTAATAACAGGGTGCACTAAACCACTGTACTATCAAGGCTCCTTTTAATTTGCTGGTTTAATCCTTCGGGGCTCGGCAGCTGTATATCAGATTTGAAAGACGGAGGCAACAGTGGTGGCTTAGGAAAAACTTAATGTTGGATGCTGTTGAGTTTTATGTTGACCGACAAAGAAATAAAGGGAGACTAGCAGTTGGCATCTTAACACTGAGCAGTGTGGCTCAGTGGCTAAGATGCTGAGCTTGTCGATCGAAAGGTCGGCAGTTCAGCAGTTCGAATCCCTAGCGCCACGTAACAGGTGAACTCCTGTGACTTGTCCCAGCTTCTGCCAACCTAGCAGTTCGAAAGCACGTAAAAAATGCAAGTAGAAAAATAGGGACCACCTTTGGTGGGAAGGGAACAGCGTTCCGTGCGCCTTTGGCGTTGAGTCATGCCGGCCACATGACCACGGAGACGTCTTCGGACAGCGCTGGCTCTCCAGCTTTGAAACGGAGATGAGCACCGCCCCCTAGAGTAGAGAACGACTAGCACACATGTGCGAGGGGAACCTTTACCTTTAGCATAGATCTATTTCAAGCTATTTAGCTCTCGTCAGCTAGGAGTTGAAGTCCACCCGTCTTCAAGATATCAAAGTTGAAAAACATTTCTGTAAACCAGATCTGGTCTGTTTTGACCCGGCTCCCCAAACACGACAAACCCTCTGTATTTAAATCAATGATTCCTTTATTAGCAGCCCCGGAAAAAAGTTTCTCTCTCACTGCAGGCTCACAAGTCTGTCCGCCAGGAAGATGAATAGTTGTCCGCCACATCTATTCATCTCCGCCCCCTGCCTTTTATCCCCAGAGCTAGGGTGGGGCTTTGCTAGCAGCGGTGGCTCTTCCGTCCCAAGGACCGGCCCATTGATTTCCACTGCTCTCCTCTCCTCTGCCTTCTGTGCATTCGTGCGTCGGGCACTGGACCCAGCTGTTCCTCTTCTTCCTCATCAGCCACCTCCAGACCTGGGGGCTGTTGAATCTCCATCTGAGGGCTGACGGATGTCCCAGGCTCTGCCTCTGTCTGTCTCTCTCTCTCTGCCACCTCCATTCCCTCTTCTCCCTCGGAGCTCTCAGGATGCCTTGATACGGCCGGTACGCTCCCATAGAGAGGGGCTCCTCTGGGTGCCGTCGGCCAAACAATGCCGACTGGCGGTCCCCAGGGGGAGAGCCTTCTCTGTGGGGGCACCTACTATCTGGAACGAGCTCCCCCCCCGGAGATACGGAGGATCCCGGATCTGCGCACCTTCTGCCGCGCTCCAAAGACCTTTTTATTCCACCAGGCTGGTCTGGCCTAATTTTCTCCCTCTTTTATAAAAGAATTTTTAATTTTTAATATTTTTTAGTGTTTTATATATTCAAATTTTAAAACTGGTTTTAAATTGATTGGGGTTTTAATTTGTCTGGGCCAAAACTATTTAATTTGATTTTAATTCTGCTTTTTAAATTTTGTATGTGTGGATTTTATTGCTTGGCTGTTCACCGCCCTGAGTCCTCCGGGAGTAGGGCGGTATAGAAATCAAATCAAATCAAATAAATAAAAAATAAATACTGGCCCTGACTCCCATACCTCCTCCTGCTCCTCTGATTTGGTTGCTGGAGGGGCTGGCAGCCGATAGGCCACGGCGTGGGCGTTTATGCCCCCCACCCAGGCTACGTCGGGCCCTTTGGCTGTCCCTGTCCGGCCCGCGTGAGGTCAATCAGAAATTAGAAATCAGAGCCTTGATAGTACAGTGGTTTAGTGCACCCTGTCATTAACACAGCTGCCTGCAATTTCTGCTGGTTCGAATCTCTCCAAGGCTCAAGGTTGACTCAGCCTTCCATCCTTTCTAAGGTGGGTGAAATGAGGACCCAGTTTGTGGGGGCAATAAGCTGACTTTGTATGAATATACAAAAGTATGAAGGCTATTGCTGAGCACATTGTAAGCCGCCCTGAGTCTTCGGAGAAGGGCGGCATATAAATCAAATTAAAAAAATAAAATAAAATAAAATAAATAAAATAAAATGTAAATAAAGCTGCCCACCATGGATCAGAATTGAGTCCAGCCTATTGGCTTGACCCTTTACAACAGTCCCATTTCCTCGTGTAGCCCGCTAAGGGAAAATCAATTGCCCACCCCCTGCTGTAGGCACGGATAGATTGGTGATCTACCCTTCCTATCTCCTTCGCCCTCCTCAGATGCGGCCTCCAAGCACGCCACTCAAGCCTTTTTTGACTGTTTGCGAGCCGAAGTGGAGCAGTTCAACATCGAAGTGACGGTTGTCAGTCCCGGCTACATCCAGACCAACCTTTCGCTCAACGCCGTCACGTCAGACGGGTCCCAGTACGGAGGTGAGGAGCGGTTTTCCTGGCGGGGTGCCAACGGCCTGCCAGTCGAGGAGACGGTTTGTGGATTCATTTATCCAGACCCCCTCAAAGCTCAGCAAATTACCGTCTTTTGCGGAGTATAAGACGCTCGGGACTATAAGACGCCCCTACCTTTTTTAATGAGGAAAAGAAGAAAAAGAAATCTGCCTCTGCCTCCCAGCAATTTTGCCTCGTTGCAGCAAACAGCCTGCTTTACTTTCAGTTTCGTTTTCAGCACAGCTCGATTATCACAAGGAAAAAAAAAAATCTGCTCCCAGCAATTTACCTCCTTGCAGCAAGCAGCAGAGGCCCCGCAGCAATAGGCCATGGCAATCCCTGCAGCCTGAAACAGCTGAGAGTCGGGAGGCCGATCCAAGGGACAATTAAGTTGTGCTAATTAGGCTGTGCTGAAGCTGAAACGGGCTGTTTCTTCTTGCTGCTTGCTGCAAGGAGGTAAATTGCTGGGAGGAAAGAGGCCAAAGGTGGGGGCCAGTGGGTGGGCGGGGCTACATTCGGCGTATAAGACACACCTAAATTTTCACCCCCTTTTCTTATACTCCGAAAATACGGTAGGCTGTAAAAAAACACTGAACCATCCATACAGTGTTGAGATGCTGAAGGAATTACGGTAGGGGAGGCTGTCCCCAGCTGTTGAGGGCTGGTGGGCCCATCTGGAATTCGGCAGAGACATTATGGGCACTCCTCAGAATGACCGATTGGGCCAGTCACGAACGGGCATTTAGTAGCGCCCCTCCTCCCCAAAGAGGCCGTTGAGCTACCCATGCCTAAATCTAAGAACGCACCTGGGGTCTCCCTGAGCCTTGGGCATTGCTGGCAAAGCGCAGATGAGCTTTGAAGCTGCCGTCTTGCTTTGCAGAACAGCTGCTTCCTTTATAACGAAAGTAATAACAATTACCGTATTTTTCGGAGTATAAGACGCACCTTAGTTTTTGGGGAGGAAAATAAGAAAACAGCTGATTGGCAGGTTGATCGGCCTCCCGGAATACCCCCAATCAGCTGTTCCCAGAGGTCAATTTTAGCAACAGGTTCCTTGGTTGTGAGCTCTGTGGCTTGCTTTTTTTTTTTTTTTGCTTTTTTTTCTGCCTCTGAAACTTCAGAAAAAGCTTTTTTTCCTGCCTCTGAAAGCATCCAAAACAGCTTCAGAAAAAAAGCCTCTGAAACAGCTTCAGAAAAAAAGCCTCTGAAGCTCTGTTTGGGGGCTTCTTTTCTGAAGCTTCTTTTCTGATGCTTTTTCCAACCTCTGAAACCTCCGTTTGAGAACCTGGGCAGGGCTACATTCGGAGTATAAGACACACCCAGATTTTCACCCTTTTTTTTTTTTGGGAAAAAGGTGCGTCTTATACTCCGAAAAGTACCGTACAATGAACGGGGAATTTGGAGGGCTTATTCATGAGCCCTAGCTTTCCAGCAAGAGCTGGTTCGGGAAAGCCTCGATTTACGAGCCCGACAGAACCCCAAATTTCCATTGCTAGACTAGACAGTTAAGTGAATTCTGCCCCTTTTATACCACCTTTTGGCCATCGTTGTTAAGAGAATCACTGCAGCTATTAAGTTAGTACCAGACTTGTTGTGAAGTGAATTTGGCTTTGCTCGTCAGAAGGTGGATTTCGTGACTCCGGGAAACTGCGCCCGTCATAAATATAAGCTAGTAGCCAAGTGTCCGAGTTTTGAGGGTGTGACTTACAGGGATGCTTGTAACGGTTGTGAGGAAAAAACAGCCATGAAGTCACTTTTTTTCAGCGCCGTTGTCACTAAATGAACGGTTAAGTTGAGGACTAGCTAAAAGTCTGTATAAATTCTCAGTCCCTGCAGGGACTGAGGCCAAAGATGCTTTTTCAGGAGGCAACTGGACTTTCTTCTTTTACTGAGAATCTCTACAGCAGGGGTCTCCAACCTCGGCAACTTTTAAGACTTGTGGACTTCAACTCCCAGAGTTCCTCAGCCAGCTTAGCCATACAATTTGGGATGAGCAACCTTGGAATGGTGCGAGAGTAGGAATGGATTTCCAGAGGAAAAATTGAAGACTACAGAAACCATTTGTAGTGCTCAGGTGACCCTGAGGACAGAGATAAATCTCCAAGTGGCCTCAGTGACCCTCTGAAAGAATGCAAATGACCAGCTCTGTCTGCGAGGAGTATAAATCCTTCCATTCCCCACCATCCATTCAGACAGAGCTGAAGAAGCTTCTTGGATGAGAAGCGAAACATCTTCAAAAGAAAAAAGCAAGCAAGCCCAGTTGCCTCCTGAAAAAAAGCACCTTTGGGCCGAGAACGAGCTCTTCTGCGATGGCTCGTCTGTAGCAGCGAGAAACCTCTGTTTTCTCGCTGCCACTTTCTTGCATGCTCACTTTCTTGCACGCGCATTTTCTATACGATGCAGTGCTGGACAAGACCATCAGTGAAGGCAAGACAGCCGCAGATGTGGCTCGACTGGTCCTGAACGCCGTGGGGGAGAAGAAAAAGGAAGTTTTAGTGGCGCCTGGTTTTCTGGCTGCCCTGGCGATCTACCTCCGACCGTTCTTCCCTACCGTCTTCTTCGCCCTCATGGCCAGGAGAGCTCGGAAGGAGAAGAAAGACAAGGAATCCAAGCCCCCCCCCCCCCCCCCCCCCCCATAGACTTCGCCCCTGTCAAAGTGTGGACCGAAGCTGCTAGGTATCTTAACATCAGTGGAGAGCTGCAGGAGCTGAACATTTTCATCCTTCGGTGCACTTAAGAGGCGGATTTTTTGTCTAGAGATGAGAAGCTTCTCCCACGCAAAGTTTTCAGGCTCTAACATTTTCTGTATATAATTTCAAGGGTTAATGCTTAGCCAGTTCACGGCAGATTTAGGGAACGGAAGGTGGCTGGCTGATGTGCTGTTTTCCCGCTCGGTGGACCTTCAGAAGACAACATGCCATTAATAGCTGGATATTTTGAGTTGTTCTTCTCACCTGTTTTCCAAACTTATCTTTTACACTTCTCTTTTGTAAATAGGAGAGGGCAAAAAACATGAGTCGTTCCCCATAGGTACCGTGTTTCCCCCCCAAAAAATAAAGACCCACTCAGAAAAAAATAAACCCTGGCAATGATTTTTCAGGATGCTCGTAATATAAGCCCTATCCCAGAAATAAGCCCCCGTTAAGATCATCAGGGATTTTAACAGGGATCAAGGGACGTGGTGGCTATAGTGGCTAAGACTAAGCTTGTCGATCAGAAAGGTTGGCAGTTCAGCGGTTCGAATCCCTGGCGCCGCGGAACAGGATGAGCTCCCGTGACTTGTCCCGGCTTCTGCCAACCTAGCAGTTCGAAAGCATATTAAAAAATGCAAGTAGAAAAATAGGGACCATCTTTGGTGGGAAGGGAACAGCGTTCCGTGCGCCTTTGGCGTTAAATCATGCCGGTCACATGACCACGGAGACTTCTTCAGACAGCGCTGGCTCCTCGGCTTTGAAATGGAGATGATCACTGCCCCCTAGAGTCGGGAACGACTAGCACGTATCTGCGAGAGGAACTTTTACCTTTAAGATCATCAACCAGACGGACGCATTTAATGCCATGTTTCCCTGAAAATAAGACTAACTGGAAAATAATCCCTAATAATGCGTCTTTTGGAGCAAAAATTAATATATGACCTGGTCTTATTTTCAGGGAAACACAGTATTAAAATATTCCAAGTTAAAGAAAATGGTGGAGATGCCATTTATGGGAGAGTTACAGGTCTTTAGTATATAAGATAGAGAAACTACTTCATATATCTCGTTAAACTACAATGGGGTTTTTTCTTTTGACTGGTCTGGTGTGCCAGCGTGGCCCAGGCTTCAATAAACCATGGCTTAGCATGACATGCAAAACTAAGGTTTATGTATTTGTCTCTCTTAAAAGATCTCAAAAAGTTTGGACAGTGGCGAAATCTGCAGTGAGTTACGACCGTCACAGCATTCCCGTAGTCGTGGGATTTACATTCTGATGCTTGGCTGACTTACTGACTTACATTTATGACAGTTGCAGTGTCCCATAGTCGTAAGTCGAGGACCACCTGTTACATGCTGGTTACCAAGCGCCCCAATTTTTGTCATATGACCATGGGGATGTGGCGATGATTAAGTCCCCTTTTTTCAGCGCCGTCGTAACTTCTCACTTGCTAAACAAACGGCTGCAAGTTGAGGACTTTTGTACTCTTAACTTTAGCAGTTTTCAAACGGCTAAGTTTTGCCTTTTCTACTCTAACCTTAGCAGTTTTCAATCAGCCGAAACCTCAAACCGAGCTCGCCCCTCCGAAATGCAAATTATTTCAACGTTAAATCCATTCATGGCCTCATCTGCTGGCTTCCCTGCTCCTCAGATCCAGACCCTTTCGTAACATCTGCTTGTGCATTCTGGGGGAAATAAAATTTATATGGCTATAAATAACAGAACCGCTCGGTGCGTTTACTTTTGAGATCAGGGACTCTCAGCGACTCTGCCAAACAGAAGCTGGAATTATTTAACCATCGCTCTTTCTCCGCCTTTTCATTTTTTTAAGAAAAATTGCTCGCGCTAAATACAACTTGAAGGAAATATATTCGATTACCTAACTGCTCTTGCATGGAAAAAAAGGCGAATCCACTGGGCTTCCTCGGTATAGCAGCTGCTGGATCCAGAAAGGTACAGGATCTCGAGTGGTGACCAAATGGCCCTATTGGTGAGAAGCTTGAAAGGGGCTCGATTCCTAATTCTAGATTCCAAAAAAAGCTAAAAAATAGCATCCACGTCTGGCTTTTGCCCTCGTGGGAAGCCATTTCAAGGGTCCTTTACCAAACGCTAGTCACAAGGCAGGGAAAGAAATATACCTGCACACTCTACAATTTAAATCTCACTGAACAGGTGATCTTAACCTTTCTGCACAGGCAGGATAAGATACTTAGGAGACTTTTTTTAAAAAAAATACTTGTTTTCCCCATTCAATTCTTTAGTACCTTGAAATTTTCAAACCACGCCCAGATGGAATGGGCTACTTAGGGTCTCTCTCTTCATACAGGTAAGTCCTTACGATCACAACTGAGCCTCGATTATGTCGTTAAGTGAGACATTTGCTAAGTGAGTTTTGCTCCGTTTTACGTTTTTCATGCCACATTTAAGTGAATCATCACCAGCTGTTAAAGTTAGTCACATGCTTGTTAAGGAGCCTGAGTGGCGTAGGAGGCTAATGCCTCCTCCTAAGGCAACATTTAACATCCTGCTGCCTGCAATTACTACGAGTTCAATTCTCACCAGGCTCAAGGTCGACTCAACCTTCCATCCTTTCGAAGTGGGTAAAATGAGGACTCAGATCGTTGGGGGCAAGAGGCTGACTCTGTAAACCGCTTAGAGGGTAAAGCACTATGAAGCGGTATATAAATTTAAGCGCTATTGCTATTCCACCCCGCTGAAGAGTTTGCTACCAGATGTTTTTTCGCCCCGACCAAAAGAAAAAGGACCTCTTGAAATTCTCATCCTTTAATGAATGGTCAGTGATATCTTTGAGCTGGTTCTGTAGAATACAATTAAACAAGATATTTAAAGGTTGTCGGGTTTTTCCTCCCAAGAGTGGGTGGGTGAGGAGGATGGGTGGAGGAACCAAAATCTACCCACCAAACCCCCATGTATTGTTTTGCTTGCACCGAGATCCCACGCCTGTTGTCTTCATCGCTCGTCCTGTTCCACCCCACCGCAGATCTGAGGCATTTAAAAAAAAATAATAATAATAACAGAAATCCCTTGATGTGACGTATGATCGTTTCTTTCCAAAAAAAGAAAAAAAAAAAGATAACCGAAGCAACAATAGTAATAATAAGAATAAGAATAATGATCGGGTAAACCGAACAACGGCTTTCCAGGCACCACTTCAAGAGGAAAAAAAATAGTTGAATTGTTCCTGTAGGAGTCCTTAATACACCATTATCGGTTCGGATGGGTTTCTCTCCCTCCCTCCCCCCCCGCCCGCCCTCCCACCTTTCTCGGCCGCGATCATACGGCGTAGAGTTCGTACACCTTCTTTACACAGTACACCAGGGCCGCCAGTGCTATCGTGTTGTGCAGTCTCTTCCTGTGCAGATCGTCCTTCCTCACTAGCACGACCGGGGTGGAAGTGGTCAGCGTGTGTAAGGGCAGGCGGGAGAGTTTGTAGGCGTTGTACTCCACCTGGTACTTGCAGCAGGGGTCGAACTGCCAGGAGATGCCGTAGAGGGTGCAGCAGGCCACGCTGAGCACGCCGGCCGGCAGAGAGAGGTAGTGGGAGTAATCCACGGGGAGGGCCAGTGGGGTGAAGAGGCAGGCCGTGCCAGCCAGCACCGCCGTCTTGTGCAGGCAGTTCCCCACCGTGATCCAACGGGCCGTCTCGTCCCCGATGCGGGTGGGCTCGATCACGATGTACTTGTACTGGGCTTCCAAGGCTTGCTCCAGCTCGTACTCGAACTGGTCCTGCGCGTTCTCCCCGTTGTAGATTTCATGAACGATGTAACAGTCCGTGGCAGATAAGGAGACCCTGTGGGAAGGAAAAGAGGAAAGAGTTACTCAGAGGGGGGGGGGTGCAGGAACAAGGCCTCCCACCCAGTGGTGAAATCCTCCGCGGATTGCCACCACTTCGTTGCCCGGGCATGCGCGATATCCTGCTTTCTAGTGAATATAAACCATGCGGCGCAGCTGATCATCGGAAATACCGGTTCGGACAAACCGGTAGCTTTTTTTTTTTACTTCCGGTTTGCCGAACAGGTAGATTTTATCACTACCAGTTCGCCTGAACCAGTACGAACCGGGAGTATTTCACCCCTGGTCCCACCCCCTCTGCCCTCCCCTTCAAGAATGGCCTTTGGGAGCCCATCGCTGGCACCCTAACGATACCCATTTTTTTTATCCATCTCTGCCCACTCCGTCATCTTCATCATCCGTTCTTCCATTGTGGGAGAGGTACAGAATAACACAGACCTCAGCGGTATCCTAGTCCAACCCCCTGCTTAGGTTAGGCAGGAAACCCTACACCTCTTCAGACAAATGGTTATCCAACATCTTCTTAAAAACTTCCAGCGTTGGAGCATTCACAACTTCTAGAGGCAAGTTGTTCCACTGATTAATTGTTCTGTCAGGAAATTTCTCTTTAGTTCTAGGTTGCTTCTCTCCTTGATGAGTTTCCACCCGTTGCTTCTTGACCTGCCCTCAGGTGCTTTGGAGAATAGCTTGACTCCCTCTTCTTTGTGGCAACCCCTGAGATATTGGAAGACTGCTCTCATGTTTCCCCTAAATCCTTCTCTTCAGTAGACTAGACATACCCAGTTCCTGCAACCGTTCTTCCTACATTTTAGCCTCCAGTCCCCTAATCACCTTTGTTGCTCTTCTCTGCCCCCTAGAGTTTGTCTGTTTTGTCTGGTTGGGCCCCCCCCCCCCCCCCCGTCTCAATTGACTATTGGGCCACTGGAAAGTCACTTCAAAACCTTGAGGAGCAGTGATGTCTACTCGAACCTGTGAAGTGGTGGACTTTATAGCGTCTCCGGAGTTATTTTAAAGAGGCCTCGGGGGCTTTGATAATGCCAGACTCGCTCCCAGCTCCTCTGTCGAACACGTCAGCAAATGGCATCAAATCAGATTCTGCTCCCTGAGTATTTTGCTAGCGTTTGGATATGCAAAGTGGGCTTATCAACTTAGCACATTTTGAAGCCACTACGTCAGGGGGAAAAAAAAAAAAAAGCTATTGACAAAACCTAAAGCTAAATCATACGGACAGAGAGGGGTCTTTTGTTCAGGCCAGGATCCGAGCGAGCTTTGGAATGACTCTATTCAACGCATTCATTCACGCGGGCTTTCGGGCCCCCCACAAAAGCTGGATTTGGGTTTCATGGCCTTTGTTTAAGCGCCTGTCTCGAACGTTGGTAAGACAGAGGTGAACGGCGTGGATTTTAGTGGTTTGACCAAATCTCTTCCCTATCGCAATCCTAAACCTGGAAGAGAAGAATTTTAGAGTTGTGTTTCTCACCCCTTGGTAACTTTAAGATGGGTGGACTTCAACTCCCAGAATTCCCCAGCCAGCCATGAACAATAGAGTTGGAAAGACCAGAAAGGCCATCCAGTCCAGTGATTCTCTCTCTTGGTAACTTTAAGATGAGTGGACTTCAACTCCCAGAATTCCCCAGCCAGCCATGAACAATAGAGTTGGAAAGACCAGAAAGACCATCCAGTCCAGTGATTCTCTCTCTTGGGAACTTTAAGATGGGTGGACTTCAACTCCCAGAATTCCCCAGCCAGCCATGCTAGCTGGGGAATTCTGGGAGTTGAAGTCCACTGTATAGCTGTTATAGAAGCTATTTATACCTACGGGAAGAGAAACGTGAGCAGGGGGGAAACTAATGCACGTACATTATGGGTTTCCGATGACATCTGATGGGGAAGAGTAATGCTGTCCTGTTTGAATTTTGATCCCACCCAGCTGTTCCCATGGCTTTAGGAGCAGCTGTAATAATATTATATTTGTTGGGGTATCCCAACATTGTCAGAGAATCCTACTGCTCTATGAAAGATGGCTGAAATCCTGCATTTAGATTAACAGAGTTGGAAGGACCTTAGAGGTCATCTAGTCCAAGCAGAAGACCCTACACCGTTTCTGACAGATGACAGTCCAGTCTCTTCTTGAAAGCCTCCAATGATGAAGCTCCCACAACTTCCGAAGGCAACTTTTGTTCCATCAGTTGATTGTTCTCACTGTCAGAAAATTTCTCCTTATTTCCAGGTTGAATCTCCAACTCTGGAAGTTTTTAAGACGATGTTGAATAACTGTCTGAAGTGGTGTAGGGTTTCCTGCCTAAGCAGGGGGTTGGACTAGAAGACCTCCAAGGTCCCTTCCAACTCTGTTATTCTATTCTATTAAGTGTGAAAACTGGTCATAAGTCATTTTTGTCAGTGCCCCTGTAACTTTGGTCAGTAAATAAAATGTTGTAAGTCAAGGACTAGCTGCATTCATGTTCGTGTATCTATCATAGCTGTAGATAGATCAATTAATGCTTAAGTTTAACTAGTAGGTTACCAGCTTTAAGCCAAAATAAAACTGCACATCCGAGATTCCTACTCTACTGTCATGTAGAGAATTTGAAAATACTGTACTGAAAATATTTTTCTAAGAAAGAGGGGCAATTTTTTATTACTCCTTTTTGAATTTCATTTTTCAACATCAAAAAATTTAGTGCCACATCCAGGTGCAACCAAGTCCTGATCATCTGAAAATCAGATGTCACTTAATTTGAGGACAAATATTTAACTTTACCTTTTTTTTAAAAAAAAAGAAATTTATTCCAGCTATAAAGGCCAAAGAGATACCTTTTAAAAAGCTGGTCCTAAGTCTAAGCTGGCTTCAAAAAAAAAGTATAGAAAATGGGAAAGAACGCTTATGAATTATGTATGCTACATTAACTGCGTGCAGAGGCATCGCCGGCCGTTTCCTGGATCAATCTTAAATATGCTTATTTAAGGTTTGTTCGCCGTTTATAAAAATAAATGGTCTGTTTGAAGAGCAAACCGCGTTCGAAATTTCCAGTAATAGCTCCTGAAGAGAGGTGAATGCTTTCTTTGTGGACGGTTGTGATGTCGCACAAGATTCAAGTCACACGGTACAAGGTCTACCAGAGAGGGTACATGGGTTGTGCCACTTCACAGGGCCTCTGGAGTCCCACCCCACTGGAGGCTGACAGTTTCTGCACACCTTCAAAGTAAGCTGCCTGCAATACAGGTAAAGGTAAAGGTAGGAATACAGGTAAAGGTAGTTTCCCTTCACACATATGCGCTAGTCGTTCCCGACTCTGGGAGACGGTGCTCATCTCCGTTTCAAAGCCGGAGAGCCAGCGCTGTCCGAAGACGTCTCCGTGGTCACGTGGCCGGCATGATTTAACGCCAAAGGTGCACGGAACGCTGTTCCCTTCCCACCAAAGGTGGTCCCTATTTTTCTACCTGCATTTTTTACCTGCTTTCGAACTGCTACGTTGGCAGAAGCTGGGACAAGTCACGGGAGCTCACCCCGTTATGCGGCACTAGGGATTCGGAGAAAAAAAAAAAACTACATCTGCTAGTTTTGTGGCCACTCAAGAAATAGTCAGGCATGGGAAGAGTTTTGTGGCTCCCGGTGTTTTCTTTTCCTGTGGGAAATGGGTCCAAATGGTTTTTTGAGTGTTTAAGTTTGCAGACCCCTGCCCTAGACTTACAACAATTCATTTAATGACCCAAGTTACAACAGCACTGAAGAAAGTGACTTAGGACCGTTCTTCACATTTATGACCGTTGCAGCGTCCCCATGGTGACGTGATCCAAATTCAAACCCTTGGCAATTGGCTTGTATTTATGACGGTTGCCATGTTCCGGGGTCAGGCAATCCCCTTTTGCAACCTTCTAGCCAACAATGGGGAAGCCAGATTCACTTAACGACCCGGGTGACGAATTTTAACAATTGCAGTGCTTCACTGAGCGACCACGGCAAGGAAGATCGTAAAATGAGGCAAAACTCTCTTATCAACTGTTTGGCTTAGCGACAAAAATCTGGAAGTCAATTGCGGTTGTTAAGTCGACAAGTACACAAACAGCCTTCTTGTCACCATGTTGGTGCATTATGTTAAATCATCTGGGGGGGGAGGGGAAACCAGGACAGGTCGTATTCACACAACTTGCCAAATCCCCCATCAATAGTTTACAAACCCCCCTGTGGCTGCAACGCTCGTAAGTGCAAGGATTGGTCGTAAGTCACTCTTTTCAGCCCCGTCGTAACTTTGAACGGTCGCTAAACAGGCAGGTGTCCCCCGTTCAGTCATACTAATGGCATTTGCAGCTTTACTAACTTCACAATTTCAGGGATTTGCCTAACAAATAAAGAGCGCGAAAGTTTGCAAAGTGAGGCAAAATTCACTGAACAACGGTCTCGCTTAGTTACAGAAACGTTGAGGTCAGTTGTGGTCGTAAGTTGAGCACTACCTTATATTTCCCAGGAAAGCTAGAACGTGCTTTCCCTTCCAAGAAACATTCTGTTCTTTTAAGTAGAGGCTCGCTATGCAGAAATGCAACAAGGAGCTTGCACGAAAGAAGGGGAAATGCTTTACATTTTCTTCTCTAACAAAAGGACAAAAAATTATAATTCTTATTCAACTCTGTCCCATTAGACGAAGCAAAGTTTTGAAAACACAAGCAAGAGACCGGAATCTCTCTTTTAAATCACGCAAACTTGACTGCCTTTAAAACGAAAACACCAGCCTGCCACGAACGTGCCCAGCAACAAGATTTATGCATATTGGAACAAAAACTACCCCGGGAAACGAATTATATATATATATATATAGTGATCCAACCAGTCGTGTGAGGATCAATTAATAATATTTATTGCTTTCTGGGCACTTTCCGAACATTCAGAAGGTACTTATTAAAACAGGCCAGAGATGGTTAATTGTGGTTAATTACCGGCACCCAGGTTCACAAGAGGGGGAAAAAAAAATTAAGGCAATAATTTACGGCTGAAACATAAAT